AAGTGTCTGTTGTGCACCATGGTGGTGCTGATCCCTGCACAGAGGTAAGCGGGGGAAGGGTCCTGCTATTTGGGGGAACTCTCCTTTTACACCCCACCCCGGTGGAATCGAATAGCAGAAGAATCTGAGTCCTTGCTCCCAGGGCCGTCCCTAGCCATTTGGGTGCCCTATGCAGCCCCAGGCCTCCCCCCCAAGGATCTGGGAGGCAGGAGCTGTGGGGGGCACTATTGGGGCCCCACAGGCCCAGAGGATTAGTGGGGGGACAGGAGCAGCCCGCTCCACTTCCCTTGCCCCGGCCCCAGCTGTGTCGCTCGGGGGAGGGAGCTTGGGGGAATGTATCCCCCCTCACCCCCCTGCACTCACTGGCAGCCGCGGGAAGCTGAGCAGCCCGGCCCCAGCCAGCTCCCAGCCGCGGCACTCCGCTTCTCACTGCAGGTGAGTGCAGGGGGGGGGGGACTTTCCCTAACACACCCCCCCCCCAACGCGACATGGCTGGGGCCAGGCAAGGGAAGCAGAGCAGGCTGGGCCAAGGATTCCTGAGGGGCTCGACCCCCAATCTTGTTGTGATCACTCAGGACAGGGGTGAGAGTGTCCCCACTGCGGGGTACTCTCTTCGCTCTGGCCGCTTCCCTGACATCTTCACTGACCATTGCAGAACAATACAATTCATTAAACAGCAAGTAATTTAAAAAAAAAGATGGGAGGGGGGAAATGAGAAAGGTGAAAGGAAAACACGTCACCCCACTCTGTGGGCACAGGGGGAACCACAAACAGCGTCTCTGGAATGTCAGGGCAGTTCACAGACTGTTCCTCAGATGTCCCAGGCCCTGGCTGTGCTGCAGGGATGCTGCAGGTTAGACACGTGCTCTGGTGGTGGCCACAAGACCTCAGGCTCTAGGTGGCAGGACCCTTCTTCCCAGCATCAGTCCTCTCCTGTTGGAGTTATGCTCCCCCTCCAAGTCTGGCCTGCAAGGCCCCTTGGCTGGGGGCATCTCACTGTGCTGGGCCTTCTGCCCAGAGTCCCCCTCGCTCTCCCCAGCTACTGACAGCCTCCGGCTCCAGACTGCCCCAAGCCCCAGCTCCTGTCTGCCTCAGCGCTGCTGCTGCTCTGCCTCCAGCCCAGCTCAGGCTGCTGCTTTCCCCTTAGCTCTGCCCTTCTCTGGCAGGCAGCTCCAGCTCACACAGAGGATGGGCTCCTGACTCTCTCATTGGCCTGCCTGCCCTGTCAATGAGGCTGACCTAGAGCAGTAGCCTCTCCCCATTGGCCCTGGGGACTAGTCTCAGGGCCTTGATTTCTCATTGGCCCTTCCCCTGGCTTTTGGTCCTGGGAGAGGGCAAACCAAAAAACTCCACTAAGTTTCAGTAAGGGGCCAATAGTCCCCTTACCCAGATACACATCAGAATCATTGTAAAATATTTATTGCTAGCTAGTAACTCTGCTGCTGTGAAAAATGATATTTGTATGTTGGTTAATATTTTTCATAGCCTCTCAGCGAGCAACTTGGGTTGCCAACTTGGTAATTTAAAAAAACAGACACTCCAGCAGGAGGGCCAGAACCTCCCCTGCCCCGCCTCTTCCCCTGAGTCCCTACACCTGCCCCACCTCTTCCCCCAAGGCTCCTCCCTCATCCACTCCTCTTCCTCCCTCCCTGCCCAGGTCAGGAGGGACTTGCCTGTGGAGCCGGGGCTGGGAGCTGCAGCTGCCCAATGCAGGTAGGAGGCAGCCCTGTCTAAGTAGGGGCTGGTGTGGGTGATGACCCAGTGCCTCCCTGCCTGCAGTAACTAGACTTTGGGTGTCTGGTCAGTAGATCTGACCGGACAATGTCAAGTTCCCTTTTTGACTGGACTTTCTGGTCAAAAACCAGTCACTTGGCCACCCCATCAGCAGCAGCCAATGTGCAATAAGTGCTGGGAACATGTCGGGGACAACTTCTGCTTTCTTATGGTGGGGGAAGTAACCATGGGAAAGCCGGGTTAGACTCAGTTCTGACCAGCAGGGAGAAATTCATTGGTATAGCTGAAATTACTATAAGGTGGGTGCACAACTGGTTGAAAGACTGTACTCCAAATAGTTATCAATGGTCTGGTGTCAAACTGGGAGAGGAATGATGGGCGGGGGGAGGAGCTCCAGGTGGCTTTCCCACACTCACAGCAGGGAACAGGGGGGGAGATGGCCCAGGTGGTTTTCCCCCACTCTTTACAGAGAACAGGGAGTGGCGGGGGAGGGGGGGAGCAGCCCAACCAGAGCCTGTGGGTCAGCTGGGCTCCGGGGAGGGAGCCATAGGCACCAACTCTGTGGGTGCTCTGGGGCTGGAGAACCCACAGGGAAAAATTAGCAGGTGCTCCACACCCACTG